TACACGCCCACAGCAACATATTATCAGACATTTCTTAGTTGCTGTGATAACTGGTCGTGTTACCACGTTTTAAAGATACTAACCATATTTCAGAACTACTAAGGTTATTCATCCATTGACGCATCTGGGTCTATACGCATTAATAAACAAATCTGATGTTTTGGTCAAATTAACAGCTTTCTATATCGCATTGTCGTTGGTTGACTGACTGGATTCAGGTTAAATTTATCAGTTTACACCATTCTGTTTCATTGAATAATAAACATTTTGTGGGGAGCATATCCCCAGACCAATCTATATGACTACTGCCTTCGGCGTTCACAACACTTTACTACGCGCTAAAATTTCACTTTATAAAAATTCTCACTCAAACGCACAAATAGCCCTGATGTTTAATATAACAGTTTCTAAAGAAGAATAAGGAACAAGGGTTAGTAATAGTGAGTTTCAAGGCTATGATAAGTAACAGTTGATATTACTAAATTTACAGTAACAAGGGTTAGTAATCGTGAGTTTCAAGGCTATGATAAGTAACAGTTGATATTACTAAATCTACAGTAACACGGGTTAGTAATCGTGAGTTTCAAGGCTATGATAAGTAACAGTTGATAATCTACAGTATGTATGTATGTCTCGAGTTTATCTACTATTGTCTGCCTGTAGTTATGAACAAATATTGTGATCTAAAGTCCTCTCTCGTTACTTTGAAGTGTAACGAAGTTGTTCGTGTTAGATTACCTGACACCAATTTACATTGTTTTTATACATCACACAAAACTGTGAATCACACCCATTACATTTCACAAACTATAACACAAAATCAGAAATTGTAATGCGCGTTTTTTTAGCGTTATAAGCCTTCAGACTAACCACCTGAGCAACTGGGGGTGCGTGGGAGGGCCACGCGAAGAAAGCCAACGCTGGTTCGCGGTAGAGACAACAACCAAGAAACTGATAGTAAATGCATAAAAACCTAAAATAAAAGTACAATTACTCTTAATATATGAAAGCTATTTGTTCAGACCATTATCTTGGTGGAGTAGGAAAGAGTTGATTTGTCAAACTTCCATACTGGCTGCAAGGCGATTGTTTCCTAAGTGCTTACCATTACAAATTGGGTTGTTATTTGTCACCTATTTATTTTACTTTGTATACTAAACACTTGTTCTATAGGAGAAAATACGATGTAATTAAACTTGTAAATTTGTGATAAGGCACGTGGTACATACTTTTCTACTTTCGTTTATCACGTGAGATAATTAAACTGTTTGTTTGTTTACCAAGCTATAGCAACAACGGCGGTGTAATGCTATGACTACAGTTCAACTACCTGGAACAAATAATAACACCTAGATAGTTCCACTGAAACAACGTTTGTTGATTTTGTTAAAAAAATAGTAGTACAGTGTTTTTTTTAAACATTCTCAGGTAACCATCGTTAAGTATGAAGCCTTAAACTAAAAAGTAATTTTTACTAACGCTTAACTTCTACTGAAACTTAGATTTTTTTTTGGATTTTTATTTTTTTTAGCTAAAGGCAAAAACACTATAATCAGATTTTAAATGTATCTCGATTGCATTGCGAATTGATATTTGTTTGCTTGTTTGTTGTTAAGCGCCCCCCACTGGCACAGCGGCATGTCTGCGGACTTACAATGCTAGAATCAGGGTTTCGATACCCGTGGTGGGCATAGCACAGATAGCCCATTGTGTAGCTTTGTGCTTAATTACAAACAAACAATTGTTGTTAAACGCAAAGCTACACAATCGGTTATTTGTGCTGTGTTCACCACGGGTATCGAAACTTAATTTTTAGCGTTATATGCCCGCAGACTTACCACTGGAAGCAATTGATATTTTACTGAAGTAGTCACGTACACCACCAGCTCCATCTCAAATGGTCGACTAAATAAAGCTTAAACATGGAAAACTTTTGTTACCAAGCGCAAAGCTACGCAATGGGCTCTCTGTTCTGTGCTCACATTAAGTATCGAAACACAATTTTTAGCGTTATAAGCCCTCAGACTACTTCCGTCCCACCGGGTGCTCGCCGAAAGCTGGTGAAGCATTGGAGACCAATAGGCCTAACATTTGTGGTAACATCACAAAACTGTATTTTATTCACATTCCTCTTAATTTGTCCATTTTTTGTCTTGCTATTATACTATTTGTAGCGTTTCAGAAAAGTTTTTGTTTCGTATCATCCAGCTCAACTGACGAGTACTAGTATTGAACGAGAGGCTCCTTAGGCAGTGACTTGGAGACAAAATATAGATCTGAAATGCTATTTTTCCATTTCCCGAGTTAGAATCCGAAGAGGTCAAATAATTTGAAGAAGGTGAAAGAAACATCTGCAATATACATGACTTTTATCACAAATGTTAGGCCTATTTTAAAATTATCTTTCAGAACTCGAAATGTCCCAATCCCAGACTCGTTCACACATAACTCAATCCTTAAATGTAAAGTTACTGACTCCAAACACACAAAACTGTAATGATACTTCAGCTAAAACTAGGTGTTAAAATACATAAAACGTCTGTAAATTTACGTGAGATGTATGATACAAAAAACATCTTTAAACTTACATGGGGTGATAAATATCACTCATTTCTTCTGTATAAAATTGTTACAAAAATAAACATCAACATAAGTAATACCTCTCTTTTTCATTTAATTATATTAGGTCGTCAAGAAATTAATGACGCGTTTTCAAAAACTTTCGTTAACCACCCCAAAAAAAAACGTACATCACGTACAATAGTTAAACGAA